TGCTTGACGTGCTGAAGCTCGACAGCCAGATGTTTGCTGCCACAGATCCCTTGTGCTCTCTGTAACAAAGATTTGCTCACGGTAACTAACTGTGAAGGATGATGGTGAGATTCATTGTTTTCTATACACAGTGTGACCTATGGTGTTGTTAGAATTTTGGATGACTAACGCATCTAGGAAAGCTAAGGAATTATTTGCCTCTAATTTACACATCAATACATCATTCAGGAACTGAGCAGGAAGCAAAATATTAGTCTGATGCCGTGCCAACCCAAATACCATATTACTGTCATAACATGGGCACAGCATCCAACAGTTCGACGACCGACAGTACTTTTTAATTGCACTTCTACCAGAACCATTGCCACTAATTAAAATATATATAAAATACACTTTACGACTAATAGTGATGACTTGCAATTCTAGCCCTAAGTAAAGATCAGCTAGGGCTTAAGTTTATTCCTTCCATAATGCTGCTCCTCTAGTTATTACAGAGTTCTATCCGGTAGCAACCATTAAATCTTATATGCTCACCATAATAGTAGCGAGCTTGCTTTAATTGGTATGTGACACAAGCAATTAATATTAAGTCGCTGTAAGTTAAAACAGGAAATTCCCTAACATTTATATTTCTAAAGTCTGCTTGCCCTAGCTCTATTTAGATTGTTTTCCCTAGCATACTCAGACAAATCATTATTTGTCTCCATATTTTGGTGAACAATTTCAAGTATTTGAGCCGCATCATCCCTGTCCCTTATTTTTGTGTGGAATTTACTAATTATAGCAGCAGCCACAGCAGTCTATCATCAAATGTGTAGAAGCCCTGTTAAAGTAATTTTGATAAAATATTTTAAATTCAGTTTTTAAAATGTCATTTACCACCTCTACTACCCATATCGACACATAGTCACAGCTCTGGATTTATTAGCATATCTTGTCATTAACTGAGATTCACCATCTGCTGGAGACATTCCTGCGACCCTTAGACATCCACATCTATCCTCGATTACAAATCAAAATGCAGATGCGTTGTCACCCGTGAGGACTAAGATCATTTTCTCGTTTCCAGTAAAAAGGGTCTCCGGTTGTCTACACTCACCATACAAAACACAACAGCATTAAGCTACTATTTCACGCTGGTATTCTGTGAGAGTGTGGTCCTTCCCCGGTCGTGCTGACCCATTCATGCTACAACTATACTTCTAATATAAGTGCAGCATGGCTCTACCACGTATAACACACATACATAGTAGTTGTCACTATGTATGTTTGTTATCGCAAAATGTAGTTAATCACAAAAGAGACATACTCGCAATGCTGATGGAACTGTTACAACCAGGTAAAAAACATTGTGCTTTTAAATAATTAGTTAGCAGTACACTGTGTGATGTATGATCTAAGCTTTGTTGTTCTGGGTGCAATACATTACTCACTTCAGATTGCAACAAGGACGGACTAGATGATTCAGATGGTTCCCATTACATACAGTTCATACAGTTGAACGTGATGCTGTTCTATCAGTTCATTGCCAGCAATTATGATATACACGACATGACAACGGCAACTGAAATAATGTAAAATACAAAAAATGAAGTCAAAGTGAAAAAATAAAATAGATTTGTTTATTTCAAACTCAAATATAAATAAAATATTTATCAAGTTAAAAGTTACTGGACAAGGACGGATTTAATGCCCTATATTATTTAACAATTAAGGCCTGACAGACTACCAGCAGTCCAAAAACAATGAAAAATCAACTGTCTCCTTTCTTGGTAGTTGATAAAAATGGTCAATCTCATAAATAAGCTAGTATGTTTGTCAGATATAGCTAGTGCAGATGTGAAAAAATAAAACAAGTTCTTGAGAAAATTTTACGGAATCGTGTTTTCGTCTAACATAAACCTTAACATTAATCCTCAACTTTACCATATATTTATTTCAAAATTAATGCTGCAATACTTTCGGCATAACGGAGGATCTTGCTAAGCCATTTGAGGTTATATTTCCCCTTAATAAATAGTTTTTTCGTTTAAGCGGAGCTCTTTTACTTTAGATTTATTACCTTTTTATTTATAATAATCAATCTGAGTAAGTAAAGTGTGTAAATACGATTCTTAAATTGTAAAAATAATAATTGGATTTGAACATCTTAGGTAGGTATTTAGTTTTATTAATTTAGAAAATATTAATCTCACAATTAATTATTGTAATAACATAAATGTATCACACAGCTAACGCCCTCATTAGCAATGTAAAAGTAAAATAAAGTTACAGCCTATATACGTCCCACTGCTGGGCTCAGGCCTCCCCTCATTTCTGAGAGGGTTTAGGGCAAGGAAGTGTCCGCCGCGCTGCCCAAATGCGTGTTGACGAACTTCACATGTCTTCGAATTATTTTTTTTCTCTTATTCCTCAGACATGCAGGTTTCCTCACGATGTTTTCCTTCACCGCCGAGCACATGGTAAATCAGCACTTAAAATTGCAATTAACAATTTCATTGGTGCCGGCGGGATCGAACCCGGGTCACTCGCGTTCTGTTACATTTACAGCGAGCGTTAACCACTGAGCTACCACGGCTCAGTCTCATAACAATCTAGTGGTGAAAGAATTCTCAAAGTTGGTCAAGTACTTTACGAGTTTAGCGAAAAAAATATTCTTTGATAGTAGCGCCCTCAATAATAAAATGCATCCTACGTTTTTAAGCACCATAGCAAAAAACGATTCAACATAGCCTAACCCGCACACACAGTAAAAATATAACAATCCTTTTTCGTCTGTAGTCAGATAAACAACTGGTTAATAACGGTTGCGTATCGGCTGCTTTGAATAAATATGCATTGTCAACGGTTATTTTAAACCTATATCATAACATCGTAATAATTATCGAAAAATTATATAAGCATTGTAATAATGACACCATAAGTAATCGATGGAAAAGGGGAATCGATTTTTTTAATGAGAATTGGATTGGCAACACTTTTTATTTTATTCACAAACTAATGAATTAATGATTTACCTAATTTTAATCTTATCTTTTCGGTACTTTTAATTTGTGCGAAAATATTCCCATTGTTTTAGGATAAATGAATACTGCGATTAATAATCATAAATAAAGATATATTTTTATAACAAATGCACATTGTTGGGCGTTCCATGGCCGAAAATGGGCGATCCCCTTTTGGACAGTTCTGGAAAGAAACTAATAATTATGTGTCATAATATTAGCAGCATCGGACATAATCTACCACAAGTTGAAATACTCTTGCCTTGCTTGCTTGATGTTAATATTATTTTTTTGACAGAGTGTTGCTAGGAGAAATTAATAATTTACCGAAACTAAATAATTATACCGTATATAGTACTAAAAATAATAATTCACAAAATGAAGGAATTGTTGTTTATATAAAAAGTAATATTATGGCAACTGTAGTTGAGGCCCCGCTTTTGAAGGCAACTGTCTGATGGGAAACGAAACTGCAATTATTGCTATCTATCGTCCACCTTCATATCGTTCATATCAATACTTTTTGCAAACTATTAATGAAAAATTAGAACCGTTGAATAATTTTACTAATATGATAGTTACGGGTTACATGAACACAAATATAAATACTACAAATTGGAACCCCGACTATGATGAATATCTCGATCTTATCATGGGTTACTGTCTACACATTCACTGCCAAGAAGATTAAACTCATGTCTTGATCACGTATTTTTACGGTCTAGTTTGAAGGCGATAACTTTAATAGTTTCTTCTAATATAACGGATCACTATATAGTTCTAACTTGTCTCGAAAACCATAAAACTCCGCTGAGCAAACCTATTTGCATCTGAATTGAATTTGTAATTACTTAATTCTATGTTAAATTGCAATGATGTTATTATCACCATAAATATGTTAATAAAAGAGCTTCAGAGAGCTACAGACGTACATATTACTATGAAGACAGTTCCCTCTCGCAAGAGAATAAAAGTTCCCTGGCTAACTCAAAGGTTGGTATTAATGTGCATTAGACATAGAAATAAACTACATTGTGATGTCATAAGTCATCCTGATAACATAAATCTTACGATTACTTATAAACGCTACCAATTTTTTTTGTGATTTATTAAAAAAGTTAGGATAGATTTTGATAAAAATAAATTATATAAAGTCGGGAATGATAATAAAAGAAAGTGAAAAATAGCTAAAAATATAGCTAAACCTAATAGTAATGCCTTTAAATACTAATCTTTTTAGTTTAAAGCCAGTCCTATCAAATCAATGAACTATATCGATGAATATTTTGCCAATATTGGAAAGAAACTAGCAGAAAAAATACTCCTCAAATAATACCTATTAATTGAATATTATCTTTTTATATAATATATCATTATTGTTTTATGATATACTATGTAAACATACATTTTATGATCTTTCAAATAAAACCATATATTTTATGGTCCTACTAGAAAAGGGTATTTAATGTTATTTGTCTCATTGCGAGCGAATCATCGACCTCCCAGAAGCGGGTCTCACCAGTGAATTGAGAACGCGCATATTATATCGCTCAGGAGCAATTACACTCGTACTCTAACCACCATCATTTCCAAAACGGACAGATTTGAAGCTGCTACTACTTACTGAAGTTTCGGTTTGCAAAGATTGGAAACAGGCAGACTGCGAAGAAACCTGTTGCCTTCGGGTCGTGCACTAACCTGCGCGTCCTACCACGACTATCGTATGTACAAGCCAATCTACAAGATAACTAAACTAACTCACCTGTCGCCGTAAACTGCGGGACAGTCCAAGAGATAATCTACTTCAACTTACTTATTGCTATGAACTACGGGATAGTTAAAACTGCATAACTACGACTTAACTGATTTTGCGGATGGGGTCAACCCGAAACGACTGTCACCGAGCGTCACCGTAAACTACGGGGCAGCTACTAAACTAAATAAATAGCTCTACTAAAAACTTAGTGTACTAAGAAAAACTACATCCCGAAAATATTGGATCTTCAACTACAATGCTTCAATATCATCAAATCTCTGTGCTCGAACTACAAGAAGGATGGAGCGAGTGGAAAAACTGAGGAGTACTTACTAAGTCGAATCCAATCTATTGATGATCAATGGATCGACATTGAACAGCGCCACAAAATTGTGGTGGAAACTGTTGAAGATAAAAACATCGACTACTTCACAGGGAATGTTTTTACCAAAACTAAGGAGCTTTATGAAACTACTTTACAAAGTATGCAATACTTACTGCTACAAGTACGCAAAAGCAAGTCTGTGCATTTTGATCCGACCGGGATGCTGGACGGAACCACCGATGTAAGTGTCAAAACGCTCTTAGAGCAGCAAGAATGCAACTTTTAAGCTCTCGATCGCGACATGTCTAAAATCGACATTCAATCTATAACTGAGAGATGGGAACTACAAGACAATCTATCGATTTTGAAGTCCAAAGGCTCAAATCTTCTTGTTGTTTATTACTATAGAGGGGAAATACGATGAGCTACGACGTCAGCTTAACAGAAATATTTGGTCGAATAATTACGAATGAAAAATCTGCGCCGAAAATAGAAATACCTGAGTTCTCGAGCAGCTACATGCAATGGTTTTTTTTTCAAAGATCTTTTTTTGGAGGTGTTTCATAACAATCATACGATTAACAAGGGACAAAAGATGCAACATCTGAAGATAAAGTTGAGAGGAGAAGCTGAGCGCCTAGTACATCATCTCAGCATCGGCGCTAAACACTATGACTCATGCTGGGAGATATTTACCCTGTGCTACGACAATCGGCGTCTTCAGTTTATATCTTTCTTCAACATTATGCTCAACTTGCATGTAATACAACAACCCGAGAACTACAACTTAAAAAAGATGCATGACGTCATAACTGAATGCCTGAACGGGCTCGCCAACATCGGTATCGAAATATTCACTTGGGACCCACTCATCGTCCTTCTGATGGCGTAGAAAATGGATACTTCAACGTACGCGGACTACATAAGAGAACAACAAGGTCACAAAGGCCCGCCTAACTTAAACGACTTTCTCTTCTTTCTCGAGAGCAAGTTTATGGCATACCAAACCATGAAAAATTTGATGAAAAAAATATCTAACATACAAAAACAAGACCAACAAAAAGCAAGTAAATACAAGAACTTTCCCAGTAAAAAACATTTATACGAAATTAACAAAGCTTACAACAAAACTTATTTTACTACTTCAACTATTGGCAAAATATTCTAACTGCAAAGGAGGTCACGTGTTGACGCAATGTCCCGAGTCCATCGACATGAATGCTATACGACGCAATAATACAGTTGCGAAATCACACGTATGCGAAAACTGCCTGTGACTTGCAAAGAATGCAATAAGAGACATCACACTCTGTTACATAACTATACAAAAAAATTGCACCTACAACTTCTGAAACTACTAACGGCGTGAGAAACAACAACATTTCCTGCCCATTAATTTCAAGTCAACTTATTGCAACCACTTAACTAACGACAACATCGAGATCCTACTTACAACCGTACAGCTGCCAACACGTACTAACTGCCAAAGTCAACTACGTCACACTTCGAGCCCTACTCGATCAAGGCTCGCAAGTGAATCTGATAACGGAGAGCGTCGCTTAGCTGCTTAAATTACCCAGAAAATGACTTACTGCTAGGGTTGCTGGGGTTTGAACTGCATCGGGAGACTATAAAGGAAGCCTACAACTTACCTGCAAATCTATCCACTCTGATTACTCGTTCGAGATGCAAACACTAATCATGAGAAAACTTAAATAAATTACACAACTCAACATTCCAAGCGGCTAACTGGCCTCACTTAGAAAACTTAATTATTGTATTATATTAATATGTCTAATGATGAATATTTAGGATTCAGAACTTTCTTTTACGTCTTGCAATGACTATGATTTTTTTTATTATAATTTTTTAACTACGGATGATTTGTTGAATATTATTCATATAAATGCCCAAAGTATCACGAGTCATTTCTCTGAGCTGGAATCTTCATTCTCTCCTAAGCGCGTACATGCAATCCTACTGTCAGAGAGTTGGTTAAAGCGTTCTTTACCCCTTACTTTATTTTTATTACCTGATTTTATCCTTATTATAAACTAGCGGTCGCCCGCGGCTCCGCCCGCGTGGATGTCGGTTACCGCTGCAAAAAGCCTACCCAGGAAAGACACGGTCAGCAAACAAAATGATTCCCAGGTCAATTCACAGACACCGACACTAACATCGACGAAGCAGTCACTATCCGCAGGCTGAACAGATTTTCTTTCTGTGGATGTTAGTTGTTAAGTCCCGGAGTGCAACCCGTTGTTTTAGGATAGAAAACTTAAGCTATTATTGTAGAGCTTCTCTATACACAACATTTGACGTTATATTATTTTCTGGTAACAAAATATACTGATGGTCGGGAGCCCCGACCCGTTATAGGGCAACGTAAAGTTGCCCATGCGTAAAACATTCTTTTCGTAAATCAATTCCTACTAATTTGAATGTTTATGGCCCTGGGATTTGTTTATCGTGAGTGCGAAAGAAATTTTTACTGGAAATTGGAGCCTTTTGAAGGGTATAGGCAAATCAGTAGGGATCATGGGTATACTTGGTATATGAGCTAATTCACCAGCTGCAGGGCCGGTGATAATCTTCGCAACTATTAAATTATCTTTTAGCTCCTTTATAAGAAGTCTCGTGCCATTACACATGTTGGGGGGTCTTAAATTTCTGAGAAGCATTATCGGCGTGCCAACTTTTAACGACAGTTCATGAGGTGGAAGCCCAGCGGGGTTCAGAGAATTTAAAAATTCCTGGGGGTAGTGCACTGCGTCCTCGATGTTAGTGACGGTGTCTATGGATTTATAGCACTTAACTTCACCCGGTACTTTCTGCATAATTAAATTGTTTATTTCGTTGACTGTTTCATTCCTGGGAGAAACTATTGCTCTACAACACAGCCAACGAAAATCATTTTGATGTAAGTTTTCGATGTCAGGATATATAGCATCTATCAGACTATCTAAATTATAGACTATTTGCCCTAGAGACTCATGCAAAGTAACCGCATAATCGGTGCCCAAATTTAAAGATGGAAAAATTCCTTCTCCCAGTTTCAGCAGCTGTTGTGGAAAATTGCTATGCGTATTTCCATGTAGATGAGCTCTCATATTAGTACGCAAATTCAAATGTTGAACAGATGTCCAAAGGTGAGACGATTTTAAACATGCCTTCATAATATCTGCTCGCGTACCTCTGTTGACGACAGCAAGCGTTTGTCGGAAATCTCCAGCAAATACAAAAGTGACACCACCCATGACATTAGCAGAGCTTCGGAGGTCTTTTAAAGTACGGTCCACGGCCTCCACATGAGCTCTATGACTCATGGTGCATTCATCCCATATTACCAACGACGCGTCTTGCAGCAACTTACCAAGAGGCCCATTTTTCCGAATAGAGCACGTAGACCGTTGATCTAATGATACGGATAGCGGGAGTTTAAACGTAGAGTGAGCAGTTTTTCCTTCGTTCAAGAGAGTTGCAGCAATTACTGACGAAGCAACTGCAATCGCTATCTTCCCTGATTGCCGTATCTTAGCAAGTATCAAATTTGCGAGAAAAGTCTTTCCGGTGCCTCCTGGTGCGTCCAAAAAAAATAATCTCCCCATGTTATTGTTCACGCTGTCCACAATAGTCTCATAAGCATGTCTTTGATCTGGTACTAATTTTGGCACATTGTCATTAACAAACGCTGTTAGATCATTGCTGTTATACTGTTGTACCATTGTGTCAATAGTATTATTCTGGGTACGAACGGGAGGAGGTAATCCAGAATCACTTAAATTTTTGTCGTTTAGTTCTAGAAGTTTGTTTTCTATTTCAATTAATACTTCATTATAAATGACTTCAGTAAAGGGTGAAGTGTTATCCTGATTTTGTTGTCTGATACGATGTCTAATATCTTCACAGAACTGATCTATGAAAGTATCCCATAACTTCAATGGTTCCGATGGTTGACAAAATAAAAGTATGACTACGAACAACTCCCTTAGTTCTTATGGACAATCTGATAACGAAGCTTCGATTAAAGTGCTACCCCAATGATCATCGTTTTCAAGTAAACCTCGGTCACGGCAAGCTGCTTGATACGTCTCTTTGACAATACCGTTTACAGTTTTAAGGTATGCAAATGAGGTCGGACCGCGTACGTGGTGCAGTAGAATCCTAAGATAAAAACACTCTGATTGGGATGGATGTATCCCGTAGACTCTACCTAAAGCGGTATCTTTTTTTATCCCCGGATGTCCAACTACATCTTCACCACGCCTCCTTCTAGTGAATGTATTATTTGCCCATGTATAGTATTGCGGGACTTCATGATACAGGAGAGTTTTGGCGAATTCATCTTCACTACAGAGAGCAAAAAATGCCAGTAATGTGGTATTGCGTGGGGTTTGGACAACTTGATGAGCTGTCCCTGGTGTAAAATACACCCTTTGACCGTTCTCTAGATGAACGGCCAAATGCACTACAGTAGGATGCCGCTCGTGAATGGGAAATTCAAATAAGCGCCAGACAGCTTCAAATGTGCTTATGTACCTGCCATTTAAATAGTTTTCGACCTCATCGTATGGGTTTCTAAGGCTAAAAGTTGCCTGATCTGAACCTTTATTTATATACTTACATATATATTTAATGGCTTGGACAGAGTGGCAATACTCCACGTTTATATGAGCGTTAAAAGTCTTACATAGTAGCGGCGAGTATGGAACAATCCACCTATTATCTATCGTCACCATGTTGCCCCTGATTTTTAGCGTAGTGCTCCGACCGCCAATTCCTGTATCGCGTCTACGATAAACTGGATATCCATCCTCTCCGGTCTGGGTATCGTTCATGAAACGGCGAGGGTATTTTATTGTGCAGACACCGTTCTTCATGCATGGTGCAGCTAAATTATGTTCTCCGCAGGGTCCATGTACCATATTTTTAGTTATAATGTCGTGTAGTACCGGATCAATTTGTTGATCGGGTAGCTCCGCAACTATGACACTGTCGATCTCATCTGGTTGTATTTTAGTTTCTAGCCAGAACAGCAAATGACTATAAGGTAAACCGCGCTTTTGCCACTCCACACTTGCCATATAACATTTTACTTTACCGATCGTCAAAATTTGATGAATTTCTTCATCTTTGAATGAAATACACGTGAAATTATGTCATGACGGTCGAAAGACCGTTGTCCTGGTAGCAGCTCGGCTTTTATTTCAGGCCATTCGGGGTTACATGTAAAAGTGACAAATAAGTCAGGTCTACCATAATTTCGAACGTACGTCATCGCGTCCT